AGGGTCCTGGGATCGAGTCCCGCATCAGGCTCCCTGCTCAGCAGGGACCCTGCTTCTCCCTCTCCCTCTGCTGCTCCCCCTGCTTGTGTTCTCTCTCTCTCTCTCTGTCAAATTAATAAATAAAATCTTTAAAAAAAAATAGAACATATTGTAGCATCTTAATCTTAATAATTTGTTATTAAGAATGAAAATCATACCTTTGTTTTGTTCAGGAGTTTTATTTGCCAAAATACTGGTGCTCCAAAATGCAGTTTTGGGAATAGCAAAGAGCTTGGTGACAATCAGTGATATTTACTCTCATTTCTTTTTTAAAAAATGTCATTTCATAAAATTTGACTTTTTGGTTTCAATTTAAGATAATTGTTAACCCAGTTCTCATGCAGTTCTTTCTCTCTAATCTATGTAAAAGGAGAGAGTAACTTTGACATGACTATGTTTATCTGGAAATGAGAGCTGGGAAAAGATGGCATTGAGTTCCACGTGGTGTAATTATAATATAAAGTCAGCATCTATTTTCTTCTCATCTTTTTCTCTCTCAGATAAAAAGCTTATGATTAGTAGAAAAAAACATTAAAACATGTTTGGGTTCTTTTTGGTTCTCTTTTGCTGGTACTTATTTAAAAATTATTGTTGGGACACCTGGCTGGCTCAGTAGAGCATGTGACTCTTGATCTCAGGGTTGTGAGTTTGAGCCCCATGTTAGGTATAGAGATTACTTAAAAATAAAAAATCTTAAAAAAAATAACTCTGTCTCCATTAAGGATACCATCAGCTGTGCACTTAGAGAATTATTAATCTTTGCAAGAAATAGAAGTGAAAAATGTCTTAACTTACCTTGGTCTGGTAACTCAGTTCTTTTTTGCTTTCATTCTTTCTTCTCACCATTTCCACCAGAGTTTCCTCCAGGTGTATTTATCCCCGTTATATAAGATAGCTTAAAGAATTTGTAGGATGCTTGTGCTAAAAGAATTGCACTGGTTGCTTAGAAGAACCTTGGAGGGAAGTTATGATTCATCAAGTAATCCCTATTCTTTTTTTTTTTTTTTTAAAGATTTTATTTATTTATTTGAGAGAGAGAATGAGAGAGACAGAGCATGAGAGGGGGAGGGTCAGAGGGAGAAGCAGACCCCCTGCTGAGCAGGGAGCCCGATGTGGGACTCGATCCCGGGACTCCAGGATCATGACCTGAGCTGAAGGCAGTCGCTTAACCAACTGAGCCACCCAGGTGCCCAAGTAATCCCTATTCTAAAAGCTGCCTGGAATGTAAGATGCACACATTCTCCACAGAGATAGTATGTGTGATGGATAGGTTCCCAGGTCAGTGGGTAACAGTGTTGCCACAGAAAAGAATATTCCATTTTAACTTGGGGTGCTACAGTCCATCTCCCTGATTTGTCTTATCTTGGTAACTCATTCATTCATTTATCAAGCATTTACTGAATTTTTTCTTCTTCCTCTTTTTAATGTGCTGGTAAGGGAGTCTCATTTATTGAGGTTGAGGGACTGGATCTCAGGAAATGAAAACAAAGATAAATAAAATATCCCAGCGCTCAGGGAGTTCATGGCTATCTGCTTCAACTTTTACTTTCTGTCTACAGTACTTTAGGATTTAAGAGTTCTAGCATTATGCTACTGACATTCGGTTCTATGGTCAGAGAGTTTTGCAGTCCAGGTACTGGAGAATGAGATGATCCCTTTCATGGAGTAGAAGCCTAGAGATGAGACTACTCTTTATTTTTTCCAGATCTTACATACTTGCTTCTCAGCCCCTACTGTGCATTAAATGATTGACCTCTTATCTCAGTAATGTGTATTGAAGAATTCCTTTACTTTATTCTCTTTTCTAGGACCTCAGTTACAGTTTTTATTTTTGTGGTTTTATACATTTTAATGTTAGAGTGAATGTTTTGTCATAACTTTTTTAAAAAGTAAGTTTTCTGGATGTCGTCTGTATTTATTTACTCAGATGGTCACCCGTACTTTCTGAATAAATTCCTTAAGATTTTGATTGGAATTTTTATTCAGCTTATAAATTGACTTACAGATTATTGACATCTTCACAATACTAGCTTTTTCTCCATTTAAGAATAGGCTTTAATTTGTGTTTCTCAGTAAAATTGTGTAGTTTTTTTCATAAAGTTTTTTGGTTTATTTTTATAGTTACTATTAAAATTATACAATCTAACTGGCTGTTCATGTTACTTTGGGAAGCGATTTTTGCATACTTCTATAAAAACCATTGTAATGAACTCTAATAATTCTAAAATATTTTTATGTTACCTCAACAAAATTGTATCATCTGAAGTGATGAAATTTTGCCTCTTTCTACTGCTGAAATCTTTTATTTTTCTTACCTGGTTTTATCAGATAGCACCTCCAGAGTGATGTTAACAACTATGTTGATAGTCGAATGGCTATCAATGTCTTAAGTCTGATTTTGCTTTTAAATTTTGTTGATATTTTGCCATTAAACATGATACCATCTATTGTCTGAGAAAGGTTTTTTAAGAGTCCTAAGAGTCTTTTTCTAATCAGGACTAGTTTCTTAAACTTTAGTACCCTTTACTAGATTTCTTTTATTGATTCTGTTTTCTACATAGGATACATTATTTTTCATAGGATCAAATTGTCTACTTTGTTGTCTACTCTCCACTTTTCGTCCTGTTAATTTCTACTGTGAACTGCTTTATATAGGTTCTGTTCCCACAATCAGTTTTTTTTTTTTTTTGAAGATTTTATTTATTCATTTGAGAGAGAGACAGAGACAGAGACTGAGCACAAGCAGGGGGAAAGGCAGAGGGAGAGGGAGAAGCAGACTCCCCACTGAGCCAGGAGCCCGACATGGGGCTCAATCCCGGGACCTGGAGATCATGACCTGAGCTGAAGGCAGACACTTAACCATCTGAGTCACCCTGAACCAGCCCCCCCCATCAGTTTTGATCATGTTTTACAAACTATATTCCAGGGAATTGTAGCACCATAACATCTTTCTGTGTTATGTAGTGAAAAGTCCACACTTCTCAGGCTATTTATGTTCTTTGTGATCAGAGCATTTGCCTTTCCGATCTTCACCTCTGTCAAGAACTGTGAAGGGTTTGAGATCTTACTCTACTTGCAAGCTAACCACGTTAGCCTGCTGTCATTTCATGGATCATGGCAGATCACACTAGTCTCCTGGATCAGAGTCAAGTAGCCTCAGTATCCATTTTTCTTGCACTGGTAACCCAAGTCCCAGTTCTCACCAGGTGCATGACAAGGGCCAGATGACACCTGTACACACAGTTAGTTCCATTACAGGGAGGGCAGGAGCATTCTCTGGAATCTCACCCCTTTCATTCTTTCCCCTCACTTCCTTTCCATATCATCCTAATTTTTAAGACTCCATCTCAGAGAGGTACTTTCTTCCATATCTCCCATCATGGACCTTGTGTCTTTGAATGTGCTGCTTATCTACTGTGTCCCTCCTATTCCAGGCACTCCAGTGTCCCTTCTTAGTTTGCACAGTGGCCTAACTTACTCTCTCTTTTTATAATTTGTAAGTCCTGTTTCTTTGGTTAGTGCCTTCTTGTTTACAGACTGCCTGCAGAAACATTATTCTTTGTCTCTCACAGAACCCTTTAAGGCGATATTGGTTAGGAATGTGTTCAGTTACAGGGGTGCCTGGGTGTCTCAGTCAGTTAAGCGTCTGCCTTCAGCTCAAGTCATGATCCCAGGTCCTTGGGATCGACTCCCATTTAGGACTACCTGCTCAGTGGGGAGCCTGCTTCTCCCTCTCCCTCAGCTGCTCCCCCTGCTTGTGCTCTCTCGTTCTCTCTCTCTCAAATAAATAAAATCTTAAAAATAAAAGGAATGTGTTCATTTGCAAGGAACAGATAACCCATTCCACAATGGGTGTAATGAAGAGAATTTTGTTTCTGTTTATGACTTCTTTTCATGTAGAGTCTGGAGATAGATAATGCAGGTGTTGATTGAGCTTTTTAGCAACAACCTTTCCATATGCTCTTCCCACCATCTGAAATTCTCTTTTTTCTGTATCTGCAGTTCTAAATTTTACCCATCCTTTAAATTATAAACTCTTCCACAGAGTTTTTGTAGAAGACTTACTCCCCAGGTGAAAATACTCTTTCTGTATATACTCTTAGGTAGTACTAAGCTGGAAAATGGCCTTTATCATTGAGTTATCTGCATCTCTATCTATATCTCTATATGTCTTATATCTTACATCTTAACTTCCCACTAGACTATAAATTCCATGTCTTGGGTATATCATTTGTTACCCTCTGAAAAGTGCCTTGTTTAAGGTAGATACCATTCGTTTACTTGTTGAATGAATGTAAAAGAATGAGTAAACATTGCCTTTAAGCAAGCTCTGTCACTGCTATTTAGAGTCTAGAGAAAAGATAAGTTGTTGGGGGTATCAGTGTGGAGCTTGGGGTTTAAGCAGATAATTTACAGGGATTAAATGTACATATTACTGAAAGGAACACCTTTATCATATAAATTAGTTTCTGAATGCACAGATACTTCTTTAATGCTATCCAAATGTATCTTCATATACTATCAGTACAATCTGTTAGTACTATGTAGAAATAAAATGGAAACTATTTTTTCTTTTAGTGCTTAGATGAATATGAAGATGATGAAGCAGGGCAGAAAGAGCGGAAACGTGAAGATGCAGTTACACAACAGAACACGATGCAGAATGAAGCTGTCAGCTTATTAGATCCAGGCAGTTCCTACCTGCTACAAGTGAGTATTTATTTAAATTTAATTTTAAAAAATTATCTTAAAAATTTATTTTCTTATGAGTTATTATATATTGATTGATTGTGAACTCTGAGATCAAGAGTCATGTGCTCTACCAATGAAGCCAGCCAGGTGCCCCTAAAACTTTATTTTTTATTTTTTTATTTTACAAATGAATACTTAAAAATACCAGGATGTCAGTTGCTATTTTAACAATCATTTTTAAGTAGCTTTTAATAATTTTTCCATTCTCGTTTTGGTTACATCAGCTCCATTTAAGTATTTTCAATGGATTTAAGCATTGACTTTCCTTCTATCCAAATACTTCTTGACTTAAAAACAGTATGTATGGTTCTTAGTTCTTGATCAGTGAATATTTGCTGGCTGACTGATTAAGCAAGTTAAGCAGTACCTATTGTAAAAAGAGCTAGGAAAAATAATTACCTCTTTGCTCTTAATAAAGTTAGAATTAGTAAGTTTAAGTGAGTGGACAATTCTGATAGCCATCCTAGCATTGATTACTAGCTTACAAATCTTAAGGTAAATTCTTCTCATTTACCTAATGTTCAGTTTCCATCAGTTTTAATATACGCCAGTGTAAATACCATTACTGACTGTTTTGTATGAAATTCAATGTTCTACAAATCCCATAGGGTTGTAGGATAGGACCAGGAGCCTCCATCTTTTATAGGAACTTCAGTGGTACTCTGGAGACCGAGGCAGTTTTGCTTAGGTTAAGCAGGATTTACTTTCATTTGTAAGAGAACCCTCTTGCAACAGGCTTATTCAATTCTCCTAAAAATGGTGGCATTCTTTTAAACTACTCTTTTAGAAGCAGCAGTTACATAAAGGGAAGATTGGATTAAACCTAAAAATGTGGACCCCAGTTAACTATATTATTCTGCATATGATTTTACATGTGTGTGTATATATATGTAAACATAGATATTTATATA